GAGAAGAGAAGGCTGAGGAGGGACCTGTATAAACACCTCAAGGGAGGCAGTGAGGAGGAGGGGGCGGCCTCTTTTCAGTGGTGGCCAGCGACAGGACTAGAGGAAACGGCCACAAACTGAAGCACCAAAAGTTCYGCAGGAACTTAAGGAAAAATTTCCTAACAGTGAGGGTGACAGAGCACTGGAACAGGCTGCCCAGGGAGGTTGTGGAGTCTCCTTCTCTGGAGATCTCCCAAACCTGCTTGGACTCAGCCTGTGCCATGTGCTCTGAATGACCCTGTGCGTGCAGGGGGGATTGGCCTGGATGATCTCTAGAGTTCCCTTCCAATCTTAAGCATTCTATGATTCTGTAACATGACACTACTCAACTGGAATTTGACTGCTTCTCAGGTTTTATCTATATATTAGAGTACCTGAGCCAGGGGTCAGACAGAAGTCTAGCAAGGCTTTTAAAGCATTTTTGCAGCCCTGGATCAAACATGGCTTTGTTCAGTAACACTCTTCTTTCCTCTCCTTTGAAGCAGCTGAACGTGATCCTGTAAGTCCCACTTCCTCAMAGCTTTCTCTGGTGCTTGCAGTTACATACAATGAGGGACACACACTGGTGGGTTTTTTAAGCCCCTAGCTCAGCAGATCATTAAAGGTTTACCTTGTGTTCAATCCAGCTCCACCATCATTTCCAGAGCTTGCACAGCATTCCCGCTAGGTTCCAGATCCAAGCACCAGACACACTTCTAACACCWCCTGCTCTGCACAAATGTGAGTTTGGCTCAGCTAGCCAGCTGAGAGGTAGTTTCAAGGCACTCTAGCGTCTGCTTCATGTTTTAAATGCATTGAAAGGCTGGCAAGAGGTAGCAGAGTTATGGTCCTGTGGGAGATGTTTGAATTCCCTGAAATCTGCAGGATACATTTAAAAAATTTCTCCAAATATCAACAGAAAAACGTACTGGAGTACTGATGTTCTCTATCACGATAGGAATTTACGAAGAGCATGCACGGACTCCCAAAGAAACAGAAAGAACACATCTTATTTCTTGGTTGCCTTGATCAAAGGTATCAAAGGGGCTGTTTTGCTACTTGGTGAAAGTTGAAACCAAAGCAAATGGATTCCCATCCATGAAAGGGGACAAAAGCAGCACGTGGCTGCTCACACAACCTTCTCGAGACCCTGCAGGCTGTTTTATTTATGATTTACATGGCACCTAAGGAGCAGGGGAGAGGTGAAGAAGCCAGGCTCAGTGTGAAGCAAGCAGCCCGTTCTGGATGCACGACATGAGCCACTGGAAAGGAACCAGTCCACCATATGGAAAAGTGTGGGCTTTCGTGAGTAAGAGCTCTGCAGTAGGGTACAGTCATAACAAGCTTATTTTTTTAAATAAAACTATTYGGTAGCTCTCCATTTAGGAACCAAATGAGACATCAGCCTATTGATCCGTAGACACACGATCGGCCTACACCTAGGACAGGAAAAGGACACTAAACACAGGACACGAGGCCCTTTGAGAAGAAGTCAGAGCTCTCAAAGCTCTTTCCTGACTACAGCTCTTTCTTGAACACATATGGCACAACGGAGAAACCACACAYACCTACCTCTTCTACACACCATCTGGGCTTGAAATGTCTCAAGGGCAGACACACACTCTGGATACCTTGATAACACTAATGTCACTTTCTATATGAATAGGGGCAAGTCAAAATTAACTCTTGATTCACTAGTTAGGATATTAGTAGTTCTGGAGGCAAAGTTTAACTGCACTAGAAAGGTTTTCCTACTGATTAAGCACTACACTTATTTCAATTACTACATGCATATAGTTCACCACCTATTACCACCTGTTTCACAGGAACATCCAGGGACCACATAAGCGTTTATAAATTTCCCAGCCCTTCGAGTATATCAGAGTATGGGGAGATAAATGCAAAGTTACATCAGAGATAGATTGATTGCTCATGAAAAAATGATGCCTCTTAATGCAGTAATAGACATTCTTCCTATTAAGCTCTACATAACATTCATTACTAAGGGGAATGGCTAAAATTTCTACTTTGAATATTATTTTTTTTCTGAAATGTATACAAAATGTTCAGGCAAGATCTTGCAGGTTTAGATGCTACATAAACCAATAATGGACATTTTAGCATGCCCAATTATTTTATTCTTTGAGCTTGTAAAACCTTTCTTTTGGTTTTGCGCTTTCTTCTTCAACAGTAATTTGCACAGGGAAAACAATATTCTGATCTCCAAACTGTGCCAAGCAAAAAAGGAATCTGAGATTTAATTTATGTAGGACTTGTAAAATAAAATATAAGGGTATTTTAAAAGCTAGAGGCTACTCTGGGTAGCACTAAACACCCCGTCAAAAGCTGCTGGTTTTATCATCATTGATTCTATGGAATTAAAGTCATTTAAACGTAACCCAGTTTTCAGTGTACCGTGTTGCTGCACCTGTTGCTGAGATGYACAGGGGTAACAGCTCAAAGACGGGGTTGAAATATTTAACATTTTTGACTCATACTTCTCCCAAAAGCAACAAAGCTCCAGCTTGCTCCAGCTACCACTAAAGGCTGTGGACCCAGCCAGATTATTTCTTTAATGCAATCTGTGTTTTATTTTAGTTGAGTGTAGGAGTGACCCCCTTTCAAAATTAAGCCCTTGAAGCATTTCCCCAGGACCACGCACCAGGCTGCTTAGGCATTTCCTTCTCTCATGCCATGTCTGCTTGCTTCTTTCTCAGACTAGCTCAGCCTCACCCACAACACCCACCAAAACTGCCACCCACAGGGCTGCCCAGTGGTCTCTGTTTTGCTCGATGGTTTGGAGATTGCTATCAGCTCCTAGAGAAGGTTGTTTCTTTCTAACTGCTCTAAATCACAGTGCACTGACACCCACCAGTTTCAACAGACAAGTACGTTCTTTTTCCCCTCCGTGGATAGCAGCAAGTTTTAGGTCTAATGTACATCTCAGGGCGACAGAAAATCTGGATTGAAAAATCTGCGTGCCACTCGGCAGYTGCCTGGACAGCCTTGGATAAGGCACTTCCCACGGGCCTGCTTCTCTCCCCCTGCAAATTCTTTGCATCGTAGACAGCTGAGCCTCCCCCATGTACAAAGCCCCTGTTTGAAATCAAGTGTAACAGTTCTCCAAGCAAAGAAGGATTTGCCTCAGATCAYCAGAAGGATCAAGAGAGCCCAGCCATACTTGCTCTTTTAAGTTCCTCTAAGTTTCTTGATATGAATTTAYAGCTCACAAACCTTTAGGCAAAAACTGGGCTGGCTGAGTAACTTTCTGCTTCAAAAAACATAGAAAAAAAATAAAACCAAAAACCGTAGCATCAGGAGAAGTATCTGCTTTGCTGCTGAGTTCTCTCCAGTGCTCAAGGCACGGGGAGCAACTTTGGCAGTACAAGTTCCACCTGAGAACTGGACAACTGCTTTTTCTGCATGCAACCAGCAGCAAATARAAGCTCTTGATAAGCCTCCTTGTAGACATCCAAAGGCTCCAAGTGGACTCACTCAGAGCATCAGTCAGGCAAAACCAAGGGCTGACAGYGTCCTCATCAGTGAGCACGGGAGCAGGGACAGAACTGTATGAACGACAGCAGTGAAATGACGAGGATTAAGACGGACAATGTCAACCACACACAGAGAGCCAGAGAAAGGTTGAGGATGGAAGGGGCCTCTAGACATCATCCAGTCCAACCCCCTGCTCCAGCAGGGACACTCAGAGCAGGGGGCACAGGGTGGCATCCAGGCGAGTCTGGAAGATCTCCAGAGAAGAACCAACCCAATACATTTTCTAAGCTGGCCTCGAAGTCCTGTCAGTGGAACAGGGCTCGGTGGTCTCACTCATTTTGAGAATCACTTTGTCACCAGAGCAAAATAAGTTCCCAGCAAACTTTGGTCACGGCAGTCTATTATTAGATGTTGATACTCTCATAAGAGATGACCTCCTTTGAGTACTCAACTAACCACTGAAAAACATTACTCAGCCAGACCGAGCCAGTGCAGGCACCTGGCTAGCAAGTCTGCCCCCACAGCGTAGCCCACATGGAACCCATGAACAAGGAACCTATATTTGCGCTGTGGGTTACAGCTGTATGAGGAAACCAGAGGCATTTAGTGCTTTGACCTTTATTTTTTTTGTCTTTGACAACTTGCAAATAGTTCAGATGCCCTATCCCACCCCACCTGAGCTATAGGAAGAAATTACAGCTTGACTTAGCTCCGCTTGCTAAATGGAGATTGGAATCTTCAAAACAACCATTTTCTATCTTTGCTTACACTGAATGCCTCCCCCTTCCCTACACTTCAAGTAAAAACACACCCACAACTAAAAGCTACCAAGAAATCTGTTTTAATAGCCACAGAGTTGCTTTCAATAGTGGCACATGCCTCAACTTGGCATGGGCAGCAGAAGCTATAGGCTACTAATTTTATCTTTGAAGCTTTCTCATTCTGCAATTGAAATCTGATTGTTAGATGGAAAAAAGAAAACCTCATGTTAACCACAACTCCAAAGCCTGCAAGAGTCACCGTGAGCCCCTTTCCTGAAGTCAGCAGAACTGGCTCTCCACAGGCAGAACACTGTGGTGGTAACGCATGGCAGAGGGGGCTCATTCCACGTAATGTGCCCATCAGTCACTCTGTGCCTCTGCACTTGGGGGCTTGAAACAGATGTTGCTCTCCAAAGCCACATGCTCTCCATGGTTGTGGTGTTACTGCTGTGCCCAAGTTGTTCTGGCATTTGGAAAGACCATCCCAGAGGAGGAATGGAAGAGCAACACATAAAAGCACAAAATCAAAACAGAAGAGAGAGCAAAAAGTTGTCTCAACTTGGGAAAAAAAAAGAAAAATATCATTCCAAAGAAAACTTCATGCAAGAGCAACAGTGTTGTATCTGATGTACAGTAAGCAGCAAAGGAAWGATTTATAAATCCCAATGCATGGATTCTTCCACTGCTACAGTCACAAATTAAGATAAGTGGTCTGCTTTGATAGCTTCACTTTAGTCCCTTGACATTCACAATTTTGAAGCCTGGAATCTAAAGGGAAAAGATTTTTATGTTYCATTTTCTTTCCGGGATGTTCTCACATGAAAATTAATAACCAAAGTTGAAAAGTTCAACCCATCAATTTTCCGTTTGAGAAAYTGTTGAACATAATTAGCCTGGATAGCACATTTTCCTGCCAATGTGAGCACAAAATGCCTCCTACAAGCTCCAAGTCAAGAAAAGCTGGKAAAGAACAATTATCCCCAAATGAAGGCATCACTGTCTCTTAATAACCGCAGACCAAAGTCATCACCCTGATCTCCACTGTAAACTCCAGTGCATCAAGGTTCATTTTTGTATGTGCTTGAACATGAACCCTGAATGCTTAACCTATGATCTGTGAGTGAAAGAAACCCAGTTAGGAGCATCACATGGGTATCCTCTTTGAAGAGTAATAGAGATAACAAGGCGTGAAGCTCCTCCAGAACAGGCCGTGTATGCAGTGGGACTTGTGGGTGCAGAAAGGAGTTACTTATCACCATTTTCATGTCTATCAGCACACCACAAAAACGTAGTTATTAACTGTAGGTTCAGGACAGGGACAGAGGACTCACTAGCAGCAACCTGCTGCTGGAAGACAAGATGCTGCAGCCTCTGTGCTGAACCCAATGCTGCAGCTTCTGTGCTAATCAGACTAGATTTTAGCCACTACTTGGACTGCCTCTCAAAAAAGGAAAACTCCAGCTGCTGTGGGGAATACACTGGGGAATTAGTGCTTCCCTTTGCAATAAGCTGATACTTCACTACAGCTTTACAAACAAACTCGATCAAGTGTTACCGTCATCCCAGTCCTCGGCCTGCTGTGCTCTCCTCTGGGCCATCATCCTGTTGCCCAGGTTCCTTCGGCGCCTGGGCATCCCGTCCCCTCGCTCGTCGGCTTGGGGCCGAGCTCTGGCCACCGGTGCTGCCGCCGCCGCCGCCACATTTTGCTGCTGCTCCTCGTCAGCTGCAGAAGGGAAACACATTCAGTAAGAAGCTGCCACCTGTGCTCTGCTGCAGCGGTCACTTTGCCGGTCAACTTTTGCAATCAGAAGCACATTAATAGGATGATTTTTCAAATTACAATGTGTATCCTCATCCTCACATGCCTCTTTTCCCCGCACCCTATGTGGCCACAGCTGTAAGCAACAAGTTGCTCTGCAGTGATCAAGCAGCATCTTGCTCTGATACCTCCCTGTCTGTGCACAGCGTCGTGCAATGTTTCATCCTGACAGCGCTTGCTTTTGCAACTGAGTATTGATTTCCTTAAAGGAAAGCCTAATGCTATAGGCTACTAATATTATTTGCTGTACATTTCTGCACTTCATCTGATATGACAAAGCCCCTGCGCTTAAAACAAAAAAAAACCCCAAAACTAAAAGTGTCCAGAAATTCCGCTTACCTAATCCAAGATTATTTGATTTGTTCTTAAAGTAGAAAATATTTTCCTTTTTCTGGTGAGAACACCAGTCCAGTCARTTCTGAGCCAGCAAAAGGTAGGGGCACAAGAATATTTTTCTTCCTTTCTAATGTATTCAGATTTTTATGTGTGTGCATATACAGATATATATAAAATAATATATAACATATATACATTATATATATAAAAATATAAATGTAATTATTTATTATATTCATATTACATAAAATTACATATTACATCTCACATTTTATGATATATATTATAAATTATATCATATCATGTTTATTATATAATACATAGTATATAATATATATTTTTGGTTTTGTACTTGTACAGTTTAATAGAACATAAACTTGAGAGCACAGGTTTTGGAAATGAGCATGTAAATCTTTACACCTGAAACAAAACCCGAGCAATAAATAAATAATGGCATGCATACATTCARTGGCACACCATTCTATCACGCTGACTTAAACTGTGTTTCTCTCCCACGTGCATGTACAGAAGGCAAATATTGGGGCAGGACAGCCTGCCAAAGGAGTCGGAATTTTGCCCCGCACTGCCAAGTTGGGATCAGTTACCAGCTGAGCTCCACAAATGAGGAATATCACGAGAGAGGAGCACCCAGGAGATGGCACGGGAGAAAACCACTCACTGAGCAAGTTTTCCACAGAAGCACATGTAAAGGTTCCCTTCAAAACCTCCATGCTTCTACTGCTCCCTATTCGRGTAGCTGTGGTGCAACGATCAGATAAGGGAAAGGCACTGTCAGCCTTTAATAACTGCTTTGCATACTCCTCTGATAAGCCTAACTGGTATTTGTGAATGTAGTTACCTACTCAGTCCTGCAAAATGTTAATCACCATGACCTTAATGCAACCAACCATTCAAATGGCCTCATAGAAAGCAGTGAAACTGCTCACGGATTTTAACTTGGACACCAATGCTTGTCCTTTGCTAATTATATTTCTGTGCTCCAAGAGGAGCTCTCCCCACTGCACCAAATCCAGCATCCTCTGATCCAACCAATTCCTTTCTAAAAAGAAAAAAAAAAAAAAAAAAANAAAAAAAAAAAAAAAAAAAAAAAAAAAAAAAAAAAAAAAAAAAAAAAAAAGCTACTGTTCAAGTATCTCAGATGTGAAAACAAGATTCATTATGACTACATCTACGTGACGATCAAAGGTGTGCTCACAGCTCGTCTCTGTATATCAGAACTAGCTTCAAAGCAGCCAACTTTGGTGCCAACAACACAGCTGCAACAGCTCTGAGCTCAGCATAAACTGCAAACCAGGGTGATGTGGAGAAGCATTTGGCCATTAGTAGTTCAAGACTGCTGCAATGATGTTGTTAGCGGCACGCAGGGAAGCTCCGGCGCAGACAGCACACGGTGACATTTTGAACTGAGTCACTGCAGCATCACCCTGCTGTTACGCTCCCCTTCTCATCCGCTCCCTTTGCTCTCTGGAGCAAGAAGTCCACAATATATTACAGGACATGGGCTCTAGAGATCACATCACTCCGCTGCTTCTTCAGGATTTGCCTAGCCTGATCTTCAGTGCTATAAAACAATGAGGGAAATGTTATGCCTCAAAGACAGCGTAGCAGATCATTTACTTGGGACATTGTTAGGTGTCTGAAATGCTCTGGGGTAGTCTGCAAAAAAAAGACATTTTAAGCACAATATTTCTCTTAAAATACCTTGCAGTTCAGAACTTATCACCCTTCTATTCAAATGCTTTAACACATTCACACCAGTAACTTTCCAAGCTGTTCCTGAACAGCACATCAGCTACGCAGCTCAAATGCTTATTCATTCTGGTTTTGTCTCCTATCTTCCYGCAAAGTGGAGCCCGTTTGCACTTCCCAAAAGAGAAATCTATTTATAAGTTACAAATTCATTTCAAACCAAGGTGCTTAACTCTCCTGGAGGCAAACATGTGAGTCAAGCCATTTTTTTAACCTTAWTTCTCTCCAGAAGACTCTAATTCCCCAAAGCTGACTAGCATTAAAGTGAGCTCAGATAGAGCAAAACCCGCCCAAACCATCTCATATCACAGCAAAATGCACAAGAGAGTTGTTGGATAGCACTTGCCTTTTCACATCCCCCAAACTCTTGTCACTCTGCACACAATAAAAGACACCTAAGTTCTGTGGATTTTCATCTAGCAAAAAAACCTGCTTTAATCCATCTGTTTTTCCTCTGCCCTTGCATTTGCAGGATATTCAACTGGACAGGAGTTTGAAAAATGTGAATATCGGTGCTTAACCTTCCCCATCCTTCACAATGTGGAATTAAAACAAGGTTCATTTTTCCCCTAACACATTTGTACCTGGCTTGTACTTCAGAGTTCAAATATTTGCCTATAGCACTCAAAAAACAYGTTTCTTCCAGTATCTACCAAGTTTGCTATATTCTCTCTCTTGCCCCTCTGGGATCACTGCAGACCCACGAGAGCCACGCACACAGAATCAGAGGGAGGTATCGAACCATACGGGAAAAAATACACTTTAAAACCTTGCTCTTAAATAAAAAAAAAAAATGCTTGCTCATATCCTTGGAAATGCATCGGCCATCAGATTTGAGGTCAGGAATAATTTCTCCCAGGTCAGAGCCCGTGGGTATTTTTCCCAGCCCCTCCTGCAGCACGGGGTGCGGTTCGGCCGTGATTATCTGGACACATCTCAGCCTGCAGCTTCCTGCGACCGCAGAGACGCGAGTGACACCTAGTCTAGGGTGGCCCTTAGTCACACCAGGGCTGACACGCTTCAATCAGCCGGGAGGCAGAGCCACAGGAGCGAAACTTGATGACCAACATGATACAGGTCAGAGCAGATGAGCCCATTCCTGTCTGATGGTTTGCAGAGCAGTGAGACACAGAAGTCACATTAAAGTCCACAGTTAACAGGCCATATGAGTGGGAAAAAAATGATCTCAGAAAAATTAGCATAGCTTGAAAGCGCGGTTTAGTTTTTATTAAAAGCATCAGATACTCCAGGTGATGACTCAGCCTTTCAAAAAGTCAGGGAATAGCTCACTTTGGAAGACAGCAGGTTTACTGATGTGCTGAGAGCAGCTTGTCTCTGCATTTTCAGAGAAAAAAGATCAGCACAACGCAGAGACAGTAACAGAGATTAATTCATCTGCCTTGTCAGTCAGGGCACAGCAGCACCCGCTGACTGTACTTGCACTGTCACCGGATTCTGATATAAGTCTATGCTGATGCAAGAAACAGCAAAAAAAAAAAAAAAAAAATCCTGTGAAAAGCAGAACAGTTTCCTAAGCAGGATGTGAAGCTTTTACCTTGAGATGATTATAAAGAATGCTGAGAAATCTCTCGGAGCCCAGGGTCCTTAGCAGCTAGGTTTACATTGCTGGGGAGAACTTTATTCCTCTAGGAAGCTCTGCAGGATCCCACTTCCTGAGAGCAAAGCTCGTTCCTTATCAGCCAGTTTGCTCATCACAGCGCCCTGTCTTCAGTTACATTAGATGAGCAACACTGTCAGTGCAATCCCGGGCTGCCAAGTTGGGAGCTTTTCCTACAAAGGGGCTACTAGGTTGTTAGCTCCCTTGCTCTGCACCACGCAGCTCCAGCTGCCACACTCCCGCACATTACGGGCACTTCCCAGCACGCTTCCCGCAGTATCCAGCACCTTCCACCTCCACACTGCCCCAGCCTGTGCAATCCAAGGAGACATCCAAAGAGGACAGGTAGAGAAACGCTCGGCTTTCCTGAGCAAGCACTTGTGCCTGGTCTAGCTTGTCCTATTAGGGCACGTTCACAGAGAGCATAGCCATACACAAGTGATGGACATGCCATCTCTTTATTAAAACCAGAAATGCTACTTCTTTTTTTTCCTGTTCTCGGCAGAACATGCCCAGACATGATCCTGCTGAAAACATCCTGCTGCTTGAAATGACCCTTTAAAGGAAATACAAAGTTACAGTGTTTGCCCCGTATGATTTTTAACTTCCTTCATTATTTAAAGCCACAAGATCGTCTATCCTTTTCAAACAGCAGCTCCCCCAGTCACAGCATACACAGTTTTGATTCCCCCCACTGATTTCAAAATGAAAAGGTGAGAGGAGGGTCTCAATCCTCCAACAGCAACCATCACTTCTACAGGTCGAACTTCCCTGTGTTAGTGGCATTAATTTACTACCAGATTGGTACCATTTCCATTTTCTGGGTAAGAAAAAAGGCACAGGAAAGTGAATTGTGCGTGACTGAGGTTGAATTTTGCTGCTATCAAACACACCAAAGCCCCAGGGGTTTTGAAAAACAGTTTCTGTCGTGTAAGCAGAATAAAGTCACTCCCACAGACTGAAACTCTGTAAAGGACTTCGTAATGACAGCAGTCAATACATTAAGGTAACAAGTTATCTTACCTTAGTCATGAAAAATAAATAAAGATCATCTTGGAAGTGTCAAAAAGAAGCTACTACTAAAAAGCCTTCAAAACAATTGAGTTAATCCTGAATATAAACTCATTTTAACTAAATGGTTCAAAAGCAGTATTAAGTCTTTTTAAGTACTCCTATGGTTTAATACAATTGCTTGGGATTCCATGTAGTTAGAACCTCATGCATCTAAAAAAACACAGACAAAAAAAAAAAAACCCAGGCCCATAGCTCCTGATTACTCCATGCCATGCAAACGAAACTTATAATATTCCTGCATCATTTCTCTAGGATGTGCATCACCTAGTTTTATCAACAGCACAGCTCTAAGAAGCTAATAAACTAATGAAACTTCATCAGCCTCTAAGCTGTGGAGAAAGAAAGACTGAGCACAGATCTAAACAATAAAAGGTCTCGGATTTTTGGGAAAAAAAATCACATATTGCTGAAATTTTATTAGCAAAAAACATTTTTAACAAGGTCCTCATGCATGGTATGACTGTGCACTGGTATGACTGTGTTTATACTAGATTGTTTTTACAGAAAAATTATCCAAGGTATCTCCCCTCCCAAGACTCCCCCTCCTGCCTCCTGCAACTTGYGCTGCAATATTGACAGAGGCTTCAGCGGTTTCTGAGGCTAAGAAACCCAAACTGGAGCCTTTGCAGCTAAACAACCTCCCGGCTTTCATTCTGGAAATACAACAAGGCAGATAAGACGACAGCTGCATCTGACTCCTTCCCATGACCACYGAAACAAGGTCATTTTGCGCAGGGTTTCACACTGCCAGCCAGCAGCGAAACACTCACCGTGGGGGCGAGGCGGCCGCCCACGAATGCTGCATCATCCACCCCTTCCCCGCACAGGGCTGCGCGACGCGGTGCCTAAAAACGCTCCCGCCGCTGCCCGCGGCGGCCGGGGGCCCTTGGCGGGCGGAAAAGCAGAAGCGCCAAGAGGGAAATTTCTCTGGAGTTGGTCTAATGGAGGCTGGTGGAGAGGAGAGGGCAGCTCTGCTGCGTAATGTGAGCAGTGGGAGCTCTGTGTGTAACCCTACCCGCTTGCCAAGGTCTGCTGGGTAAAACCAGGTGATTAAATATATATATATATATATGTATATATATGTATGTAAAATCATTTTTTTTTAAGATGGAGATACAGGTGTGGGGAGCACGGCTGAGGCTCCTCACACAAGCAACACCGCCGTCCCTGTGCCTGTCCGAGCGCCCTGCTGACCTCCAGCCGCTGCGGAGCGGCCCCGAGCGGGCCCGGCGGCTCTGAGAGGGCACTGCCCTTCGCGGATCCGTTTGGGGGAAAACGCTGTGATTTAGGGGCATGGTGGCCACAAGGTGTCTTAAATCCCCCCCGCGTACCTCTTTGGGAAACTGATCAGAAGTGCGGGAATGCCCCTGGAAAACACCTCCCCGGGAATGCTGTGGGAACCTTTTCCACCCTGACCCTGGCCGGGTGACACGAGTTGTGCCAGGCCTCAGGGGGGGTTCCCCCTCGGGGGGGGGCTAAGAAGGGGGTGCAGTTTCACACTCCCCCTCCACAGCGGCTCCCCTCYCCCCCGGGGTCTCCATGGAGACCCTCCCCCCAACCCCACCACTGGACCCAGTTGGGAGCAGGGGCGGGCCCGACAGAGCACCCCCGCCCCCAAACCCGGAACACGGCGGAGAGGAGGGACACAGGGGGAAGGGAGGAGACTCCCCAGGACCCACCTGCCCTGGCCTGGYCCCACAGGCGGATGGCGAAGAAGAGGAGCGCGGCGAGGAGCGCGGCGGCCGCGACCAGCAGCGCCGGGTCCATCCTCCCGCCCGCCCCGCCGGCCCCGGCCCCGGTCCCGCCCCGCCACCACACGGGCCCGCGCGGGGCGGCGCTTGGCACGCACCGCCCCCGGTTGCCCCTCAGGCCCCCGCGCCGGGCTGCCCCACCTACCGCCTGACGCGAAGGCGGCACCTTATTGGTCCCCGCACGGCAGGCGGCGCACCTGGCAGCCCGCCCGCGGGGACGGGGAGGGTGGTCACGTGGGCGCTGCGCGCGGCCGTTACAACGGCCGTTAATAACGGTCGTTAGCGGGTGTCAGTGTGTTGCTCTGAGGGGGTAGGGGYGACAACGGCCTCGCGAGGCCTGAGGGGGTTCATTTCACTACAAGAATTCAAATCCTAGCGGGGAGGATGTGTCCGAGCTGCTTCGTACGTTATTTATTATATCCGGGCGTTATTTATTAATTATAAATAAAAACCCCAGAGGCAAAATCATAGCCAGGACTGTGAGCACACTCACAGTCACCTGGGCACTCCTGTGGTTGAGGTAGCCGTGAAAACCAAGCTTAAGTTACAACCCTGAGTAATTTAAACCTTCCACCTCTTAGGTTAGTGGTATGGGAGCCTATAACGAAGCTGGAGTTCTAGCCTGGCTCCGTGAGGTGGTGAAGGCCAGACTGGCTTCCTCGTGTGGCCTGAACTGAATTTGATTTGTCATTGAAATAGAAAATCCCTTTCCCCACGCTGACCTTGAGCTGGGAGTTAGTCGGCAAATTAGTAAGATCACTTATTTTGGTAAAAATGAAACCCAACTTATCAGAAATGGCTGGTAATATGTATGCATTTATAAATATATTCAGGTTCACAAGCTGGCTTGGTTTATTCATTGCCAAGACAAAGTAGGCAGCCCCCAGCTGTGGATTGACAACTGCTTTGAGTTGATCTAATGCTRCTGTCCAGCCAAATGGAGGATCTGCCTCCTGCCACTTAAATGCTCTATGAGTGGGGAAGTCATCGTTTTTATTTATTTTTTTTATTATTATTATTTTTAGTCAGATCCAAGCAAGTATTGGCATGAAAGTTGCTTGCATGAACTTGTAGCTGGGCTCAGCTCCAGTCCSTGTGAGAGAGGAGGCACTTCAGTCTTTGGCTTGTTCTGCAGTTCTAAAGTCCTGTCTGATCTTGCTTTGGGGATCCCTTTGGTGTGGCCATTTAGAGGATTGTTCTTGGGAGCTTCCCCCTCACTCCCCCATAAAATGTTTTCATAAAAATGGAAATTGGAGTGTTCCACATCCCTCTTTGCTCTCCCAGCAGCTGTGAAACTGGCTTCCCCATCAGGCTTGTGGATTTACTTCCTTTCATCACTGGAAGATTTGAGAAGCATTCAGAGCTTTAAACATATTGTGCTACAGTGCTCTGGACTGATTGGACATTGGGATGTAATCAAGGATTTATCTTAGCTAATTAGTTATTGCTGTAACTGGACTGCATGGCTGTCTTTGCTCCAGGCATCGTGAACTTGAGACAAATTTCACATGTTTCTGCCACAGAGCAACTGGCTTTTACAAAGAAAAGTTATTTCCTTCATGCTGCATCAAGGTATGTTTCAGACAACGATTATTTTTTATCRTGTAATAGTTGGAGTGGTTTTAAAGTAAAACTCCGTATTAAAGGAAAATATGTTTTTTATTTCCTCCCATACTTGGCTTCAGATTTGAAAAATCGTGAATGATCTGGTGGTAAAAAGCAGCGTATTCGGTCATTCTATCTGAACTAATAGCTCTCAGATCCTGTTTTGTCATCATCCAGCTAATTAGGTTTGTCTGCAGCCAGTGCTTATTGGTGCGAGTGGAATGTGTTTTAGTGGCCTGCACAGTCCCTGCAGCCTTAAATAATGTCATTAAGGCAATGTTAACGATGTGATGTCATCCAGCCCTTTCTGGGTGGCCGAGGTAGAAGCSTAGTTTTCCCTGTAGGTGTCAGCATTATCCCACGTAGAAACAGCTTAACMTCGAGCAGAGATTAACCACAGAACGTGAGATGCTCAGTTCAGTTTGGTTTTAACACCTGGCTCTTCTTTAGAAACATAACATGTCTTTTAATATTTTACATTCCACGGACTCTGTTTCTCAGGTGCTTTTTTTTTTTTAATGTTTTTCCTAATGTAGATGCGGAGAAGTTCCTCTGGTTTCTTTAATTAGCCAAGTAGTTTTTGAGGGATTTTGAAGCTGACTTGCTGCCAAGCAACTGGGAAAAGGTATGTGCTTGTTAGGGTTACTTGAGGGTTGTATGAGAAGTGGATACTACCGAATTTAAGACAAGAACCTTTTGGAGAATAAATAATCCCATTTGATCTTACAAATTTTGCAGTACAGTGGGATCGTAGTAGTTCAAGACTTGCAGACTCAGGCAATTCCCTCAGCTCAGTGAGGAAGCAGAGTCTAAACCTGATTTTTTTTTTGTGTGTGTGTGTAAATGTGTGGCCTTTCAGTTTTTTTTTCTAATTTTGACAAAAAGTCAAGCAGCACATTTTCCCAGAAGGAAGAAAAAAAGCCTCGGTGTATATAGGAATCATGCACTAAAGTGAGCGATCACCACTTTGCTGCAATAACCATCCATTAATCCAGCCAGCAATGCAGTCCTAGAGCGCGTGATTCAGTAAGTGTGCAGTGGCGCCATGTATTGATGTCTGGTAATGAGACTCTAAGTAGAGGCAATTCAGCTTCATCTGTGCTAATAAACTAAGTGCATCCAGGAACTAAATGAATCCTGGGCCCTGTGGCCAACTGGCACAAACCAGCCCTTTTCCAGGCTTGTCAACTGCCTTGCCTTCCCGGAGAGGGTGGCTGGATGCGAGCTGCCTCTCGGGAGCTGTTCTTGGACTGTTCTGTGTGCTGAGCCATTCTGGGAATTATTTAGGAAAATGTGAATTGGCACAGCCCAGATTCATTCCAGGGAACTTTCTAATAAATTACCCACAGGGATAATTATTTTCCAGGGCTTGGGCATGTCTAAATTTATGGTATAGATGTGACCTTCCTGTAATAGAATAGATTTACAGGGTGGAATAAAGCAAATGCTGTGTCCACCTGCTCCCTGCCACTTGGATATACATCGCATTTATTCCCCCAAATTCTGGTCTGTAAGAATGCTAATGAACAGAAGTGTTTCTGGACCCACTTCTTCATGCCAGTAGGTGCAAAAGCTGCTCAACACCTCACAGGAAGTTTTAGGAGCTGTGAGTGTTGCTGAAGACATTACACTCAGGGGCCGATTTGTCAGGGCTCTGCCTCCTAAGCAGAGCTGCAGTTTGGGTTTCCCTTCTGTTTGCACTCAGTGTGTTCTGGGTGCCACCAAATCCAAGCAAAACTTTGTGGTCCTGCCATGGTTAGGCTGAACAAAGCACTGTTCGAAGTTAGAATAYGTAGGTAGAATATCATGTTTATCTCACTCTTATTTTTCTTCCATCTGAGGAACTGGGGTGATCACAGTTACAAGCCATAAAATAGCAGTTACTCTTTTGGCCTTAAAAGTTGAGGGAAGTTCTGAAACAACTAATGGCAGCAGAGTTAAGAATCTAAAAGAAACCCAATAAGGGCAAAGGTTTCCTTGAGCGGGTCTTCAGGAGTATTTGGAGGTGGAGACTGCTGTGCTAATGTGAGATTAAAGAAAAAATACTGCAGAAGTGAAATCCCTAAGACTAAAATTCAGGTGCTGTCTTCCTGCATAGCRCCAGAGGTGGTGATTTACCCCTGAGGCGCAGCAGACAGGGTGCTAGGGTAGGACCCAGGGTGCTGCAAGAACAGTATGAGTGAGAAGTGATTTGCAGGAGTATCCTGATGTGTGCCAAGGCAAACCTGTCAAAAACAGCCTTTCAAARTCTCTTTGATGGACAGTGAAACGCTGCAAGATACATGTGTTTGTGTGTCCTGTTCCTCAGGCTGTCTGATTTCATGCAGGGACTGCCTGCCTGGTCTTGTCCAGGTGGCTGTGGCTGTATCTGCACATGTATGTGTCTTTCTAAAACTTTATCGACATTGTTTTCTTTCTCTTCTGACTGAAAATTGCACAAGGTGGTTCCTAATCAAAGTTTCTTGGAAAAGGAGACATTTCCAGAAAATGGACTGGTTCTTCTAGACATGCATTTTCCTCTGAAAAGCACTTACCACTTTGCTGTGTTATTCTTGACTGGCATYGTGTAGCTAATCTGAGTTTAGTCCAAACTTTTCTGTGCCTGGGATTTTCTAGTTGAAAGTTAGAGATAAAAATATYGATCTTCTTCACAGAGTACCAGGGAGGACACCCATTACAGATCTAGTGGTGTTATTAATGGCTGGTWGCTGCTATCATTCTCTTTATGTTTTTCTACAGTTCTGCTACATTTGCCCAGCCCTCCTCTCTCCAGTCTAGCCTACTGAGCTGTTTGTCTGAAGCCTTAATGAGCTTCCTGTATCTTTTCAAAATGTAAATTGTAGCCACTTCAGAAGGCATTAGTTAAGTAGTCTGTCACTGCAGGTCCAGTTTAATTTCATCTGTCCCTTCACTTGTTTCCATTAAAACCCATTTAATTACCAAGCTACCTTGTTCTCACAGGGCAGTCATCCCCATTTGAAATAAATGGGTGGCAAAGTCTGTGACTCAGCTGACAACACAGGAGAAACGGCCGAGAGCTCGATGGTCAGGCCCCCTAGCTCAGCCATGGCTGTTATAAAGAGCTCTTCTTATGCCTTGACAGATCCACCAGCATGAAGGGAAAAGAAAACCCGAGCTGTCAGAATGTGGTTTAGTTTCTGTGCTGCATGGGGGAAAAGGACTGACAACCTGTCCTGGCCCTAGCTGCGTGCAACCCCGCTGAACGGGGCACAGTTGCTGCAATGCCGTGATAGCACCATGAGCCTGTCTTGGGGACTGATTGGGAATGTGCAAATTTAATGTGATTGCTGCTTGAGGTAAGACTGTAGCTACAAAAATATGGGTTTTTTTTTCCTAGCCAAGTTAGTTAAATTGTGTTTAGCTGGATGCAAACTGCAGTTAATGTGAATG